TAGAAGTCGGGAAAGATAGGGTACTCGGAATTTCATGCAATCAGTTCCCTTCAATATTTTCATGAGAGTAAGAAGAAGCATCATGATCATAGGATGTGTTGAATTCAACTATTTCGTGGTAATCTCATCACCTGAGTACATGCATTAGGATCACGTTTGGGGATTTCTGATAAAGTTTAATTCTTGCGGGTAAATGCCCCGACAAAGAAGCAAATGGACGGATGGGAACAACAAGAGGCTAAACCAAGATGTAGCGGATGAAAAGGGTCATCTTATATCGTAAATACCAATATATTTTGATATTTCATATGGTTGATGAATCTACTGAAATTTATGATGCACATCCGAATATCACCACTATACCATGTCTACGGGGTTTTAAATCATTGTTTGAAGAGTCCGGAAAATACTACGGACGAGCAAATGAGGAAAACTTGGAAAACCCTCTGGTGAACGACAGACGACAAAGCTGATTATGGGGGTTCAGAGCCGTCTGAGTTTCCTTAACTGAAACGGGGAGGCGTCCTAGTTTCCCCATACGATTGTGAATGTGTATAGACCACGAAAGTTCATTGTCGATGGTGACATTTAGGTACTTGATCAGGTCATTCTATAACTTTTCAAACTCAAGTGAATCCGTTGTAACTTTAAGTGAATCCAACCAATCGTGTCCCATAGGGAACCCCAGAAGATAATTGCTGTTTCGGCCGTCAAACGTCATCGATTGAACCGGGTCTGTTCAAACCACATCTACTCCGAGTGAACACACTTCTCCGTAAACAAACAAAAGTACTTTTTGAGTGAGTTATCGAGCGAGACGAAGACAGGATCGCTAATTGCAACGGACAATACGACATAACAACACAAAAATGGGGAACAAGAGAGAGTAAAGGTTTCGTTGGGATAGACTGTCCCTACCTCCCTCCCGCCCCACCTTAGAACGTTATGTCCTAAACTGCATTCTAGCCACCTAGATGTTTCACAAGAAAAATGAATTGTTTGAAAAACTGGTATGTCTGTAGTAGGTTTTCAATGAAGGAATTAAAGTCCGAAGAAGAGGAAACTGTATGACCAAAAGGATAGCTTCACCAAACGTTTGGATGTGTTCATGAGATGAGACCGGAAGATCACGTATGAAAGCAGAAAGGATATACGGAGATACAACAGCACCAGGAAGCAAACTGGAGTTATTATCTAGAGATTCTGATATGCTTCCATCCAAATTAATTCACTAAATCCTTTCTTTGAAATAGTCAGGGAGCCATGAGGGTATTGTAGAATCAAAAGACTGTATTTTAAAAAGGAGGGATAGTCGAGAAACTAAATCAAATGCAGGCAAATCCAAAAAATGCATTCGCTTGTCCTAGCTGAATTCTTCAGTTATTTGCTCATGACATGTATTAGAGTGGACATGGAGTTCAAAGTGGATCTGTTGAATTTATACACAAATTACAGGATCCTTTAGGGGATGTTGATAAGTGACTGCAATCGTTTCGGTAGTCCATTCAAGTCAAATTAAGAACTGCATTGATCAGCACGATAGGATGAAACGATTGCAGAAGAAAGGTTGACGATGAAGCCTTTGCGATGAAAATTATGGTGGCAAATCGCCAGGAGTCAGGAATCTACCCGGGAAACAAAACTTCTTATTCAGGTGTGCAATCATATTGTCNTGCGAATTTCAGAAACGAGGAGGGCTAATATCAAGGAGCTCAGCCGAGGACATTTTGGAAGAACGACGAAGCTTAGAGATTTCAACGGAAGAAAATGACACCAGGTCGGACTCATTGCACGGGAAAGTAGGAATCTGGAGCTCATTTGACGGGTAGATGAAGACAACGTTGAGGCTGTTGACGTCCAGTACAGCATTTCAACGTTTTGTTTCCGCTCGCTGAGAAAACGAACATATGGTCGGAGTATTCTGGGTTTATCTGTTTGCATCTTCTAGCCAGCGAACGTTGCATCCATATGTGTTGTATCAGCCTTGATTAAGTCAGAGTAGTAGTCTTTGACTGAAGCAGGTAGGATTTATAGACCCCTTCTTCGTCACCTCTGAATGATTTTACGGGTACAGTGATTCTACATATGCATATCATTCGCAACGCAAGTGAAAGATCGATTTCAACGCGTCAGTGTAAAAAGTGACACATTTAAAATGTGATCGACAGGAATTCAGTTGTAGAGCCGTTGAGACGCGAGATACAGCTGGGTGTGGAGTCCCCTGGACGAAACTCTATCTAATTGGAAAGTACGAATGCTTTATAGGCAGTGCAAGAATATACTCCTGATCTTTATATGAAAAACATCGGTTACCGGCTGCAATCGGGCCTATTAGTATGAAAGAAAATAAGGTAGGATGGTTGGTGATCACTATGTCTAGCACAGACCTGTCTCCAATAGGAGTATGGAATAGGTTCGATTGCTCAAACGGAACCAGAGAGAAAGTGTTGACACAGTTGAAATAATTAACAAGTAATCGATTATTTTCGCCTAAGAAATGAACTAAAGACAATATAAAAATCAAATGAAGCAAAACTGTCCGTCTGAGAGCAGGAGGAAGATATATACGAATTAGTTATGATTGTATTTTGTGTATTTGTATTTTTTTGGGATGACAAAGAATGGATGAATAATCAAAGCTTTTCCAGAATAGTTAAATAACACACCTCAATAGATGCATCGTTAGACGTTGATGCACGGTACCACGCCCCCTGCAATCGTTTTTTTCAATTCGATGTCTATAGGCCCAGTAACAATCGAAGCCACCCGTTCACACAAACACGTCCTCAATGTTTAATTCAATTGCGGTTCTTGAACAAATACAGGGCACATTTATGAATCTCATTTATTCAGTTTCCAATTGTACCATGTCCTAACGAGAATAGGAATGGATCTTGAACGTGCGATAAAATCCGGCATGATGACAAGCACGCGTGTGTTCTGGGGTAAATGAAATGATTTGCTTGTCGTTTCCCGATGATCTCAGAGCTGGGGAGATCAGTCTGTGCGGTGCACTAACGAAAAATTCAGCAAAGTATTACTGTTGCGTTGGCCGGTCAAATTCTAAATCTATTCTCCAAACTTTGTTAGCGGAAATCTCAGCAAGACAACATTTGCCTTGTCTCATTGGTCCATATCGATTGTAGCTTCTCCATTGAGTCAAAAAATTATGTTTATCAAATGTTAAGTCTTCGTTTCAAGGCCAATGCTATCAGTAGATTGTGTATCAGTTGGTATACCATCACATCGGCTGTATAAACCAGCTTTTCAAATCAGGGAACAGCCACTACCATCAACGGAAAAATGCTGTATCAAGAATGTATGGTTACCATTTATCTCATACACGCAATTCCTGGATCATGATACTTCAATGGTTCTATAGGGCAGTCAAACTAAAGCTTAGCATGAGGGTACGAAAACCCTAATCAGAGCAATGGGTCGCCTAGGTCCTGTTAGGCTCCCTGGATGCGGACCCCGAGATCATGATAATTGTTGGTTAAAGACACTGAGTGTCGCAAGCGGTGGCACCCGTGCATCAACTCAGTAATCTTGCAACCCCAGTCTATGAATTCTTCATCTTCTTGTTGAATTTGCTTCCAGCCCTCCACACTTCATTCTGCTCGTTTTCTCAAATGGGAGGTGAACAAACAGGAACCAAAAATGGTGCGTGAAAATGCTTGGTTGATGGTTGTGAAAAGTAAAATTTAAACTATAAGACTGGGGGAGAGTAGACAGTCACCTCCCACTCCCGAACGTTACTATTGCAAATAGTTTGGACTGCTTTCTTATAAGCATTATATACCTCAAGTCATCTTGGACGGACAACATCTTTAACTTCAGTGATTTTTTATCAATTAAAGAAGGAATAGTGGGGTCGTTCTTTAACTGCATGAACAATTTAGAGGATTCAGACAAATTAATAAAACTCGGGGTATATATATAACCAATCTTTTTTGATATGACGGCGAAATATCTAGGGGTTAAAGGAAAAATACAAAAGCGAACGATAGAAAAGAACGATCAGTTTTATGTGTGGGTAAATAACACCTAATTTCTGCTTATGCACTGAACGCAATTTCGACTGTTTCGTTTTAGTTAGGAATTGCATACCGGACAGAGTTCATTCGCATCACTGACTTCGAGATACGGGTATGCAATTTTGGAAAAATTATGCAGCACAACGGTACACGTCAATAATAATGGCGCCACAATATAACATCTGACTTAATGGGTTTTGTCTACCAATTAGACATGATTATCACCCAGTATCGGAATACTGACTGTTGCAGTGCAGCTCCTCTCTTCTTGATGGATAATTTCGGATTCGTGTTCAGATGACAGAAAAAAAGGGTCACGTGATCAAATATCATACACTAATTAATCCGTCTTCATGGATGCTGGTGCATAAGAAATTCGGAATATAAAAGAAAAACACGCAAAAGCGACCAGAAGGATTACGTCTGAACTGTGCAGTATTCTCCGTGGCAAAACGGCTAAGAGAGACAAGTTATAGGATCAATGGGCTTGACAAACTCACGCTGGATCAAACCGAATATTGTGCAAGGCTGAAGCAGATTAAACCGGTCTACTTCACTCAATTCTAGGCAAATGGATATACACAATGGCAAATCGTGCTTGAGATTGGCGACTTTTACCCTCTCACTTCCGCCCTCCCTCCTTAGGGAATGGTTCCCTACCGCCCCTCAGCTATTGCTTCACTCTCTTCTGTTTAATGTTTACCTCCCCTCCAATTTAGCTTTCGTTTTCACTAGTTTATTAACTTATATTATTCGTTACCAAATCATTTTCTGCAAATGCTCGTATCCACTTGTGGCTTCTCGTGACTCATGATTGTGGATAGATCGAATCATTTTACTTAACAGAGAAGATTGATCTGTTCGATATGGTATCACAAAACAGAACCATATAGATACGATAAAACGCGTGCGCTCAAGACAATTAATTTCCCATTCTGACTTTTCTCAATATCAGTGAGCTGTTTACAATTTTCCTATGAACATTTTAGAAGAATCACAGTACTGCATATCGATCATCATCATCATCATCATCATCATCATCATCATCATCATCATCATCATCATCATCATCCAGGAGTCATCATCATCATCATCATCATCATTGGAGTCATCATCATCATCATCATCATCATCATCATTGGAGTCATCATCATCATTGGAGTCATCATCATCATCATTGGAGTCATCATCATGTTGTGTAACTTTAAGTTTACACGACATCCTTTTAGAAGTTACAATAAAGCAGCGCGCATTGCAGTTTAGAACTGATCATTTTCGCTTTGGCTTGTTTCAGAGATGGGTAATTCCGGGTTTCTACTCAGTGATCGACTAACCTTGGCTATCACCTCAAAACGCTTTAATATTTTGTTCCATCTTGCGGTTTGAAATATTCTTCTTCAGTGGAGCGATTTCGAGCATTTGCTTATAAATACTTGACTCGATGCTTTTCCTGAGCTTGTTTTGTGGAAAGAGGGATTTATTTGACCGATCATCTTATCCACTTTCACGTCTGCAGCTTGTGGTGGATCGGATGTTCATTATCAAGGAGGTTTTTCACACTTGTTGTCATCTGATGGTTTTCAGTGTCACAGAGTGTTTTAAACAATTTTTAACCATTCTATTTGGCAACAGGTATTTCCAGGTTACCCATTAACTATACTCACCGATTTTGAGGATCGCCGCCAAAGTTTGGAATAAGTAGGTTTACGAATGCTGTCACAGTTTCTTCTATAACAATTGTTGATTGAGATCTCATGTTTTATGAGGATCCTCGAGTCACTTTACATTCAATGCCTAGAAAGGAAATGGGGCTTAGATTAGCAAGGCGATTTGACTAGGATAGTGCACCTCTCTTAGCACACGCCACAGTTCTGCTTATAGTGATATTAACAGGTGAGACAGACAAGTTTGATATGTGTTGGTGGTTTATACCGAGGTTTGATGAGACAAAGTTAAGCAATGGCGATGCTGAACATAGGCAGTTCATTAAAATTAAAAATTTGGGCCTGAATCAGACCAATAACGGTTAGCTTTACAATACTTAAATAGGCAAGTATAGCTAATCATATTCGGATTTACATTCGCAGTGTTGGTGCAGTTCGTTGCCCGAAAAATAGGACACAATAATGAAGGTAGTTTGGGTTATTCTTTGTAATGAACACCATTGAAGATAATGGCAATACTCAATGAACAGTGTGATAAAATACTGTAAGGCATTTGTGAAGTGTAATTTTGCCTTAATTTCATTCAACTTTCATCTCCGCTCACGATTTAATTCAGTCGGACGGGGAGCCCCAGGCTCCGGTTTCGGTCATGTTAAGGCTTATCAATGGTGCATAGCAACCCGCCTGTCAGGAATTTGAACACCGGAAACCATGCACGAAAGGTGATTGTGTTATCACTGTGAGAACAACGGTACACGAAGACCAATCGTCGTCGACATTTTATTTTGTTCGTATGTCATATTTGATGATATCCAATCCACTGGTTTATCATTGAAAGTACACAAGATATACTCTCTCATGATTGTTGGTGAGCATTTCCCACAAAATTCGGCCATCTTGGGATGTTTGGGTACACGCTTTCAATGAAACTTTTACTGCAACACTAGTTTGTTTTGAACTAACCATGAACTTATGAAACGCTCATGAAAAGTGTGAAGTAACACAACAGTTTAAATAATGTAAAGAGGGGTTCCAGTGGTTTCAGTTATCAATTAGCTGCTATTCAATGATTGTTTGATTTTCCCCGTCCTTCCAGCCTTGGTAAGCTTTTGTTAACCGCATAGCACAAATTAGAGTGTGCATTTATCCTATGAAAATTTCCGACTATAGATAGCTCCCGCATTCCTAGTTGTGTTCCCGTAATGAATAGCAAATGGCACGACGCAAAGAGGCATGCACCGCATGAAAACCCATACAGAATAGTTCAAACATTGCCTGTTTTTCCTAAGCCTTCACTGGAATACAAGCGCGGCACAGTGGACGATTTTTTACAAATGAGCTCAAAACTGGGAAATGTTACATCTAGAAAATGAGCATACCTAGTGTTTCAGCTGTAAATTTGTAACTATGTGACAATCCCAGTAGGTGTGTGAAGCGGTATATGGAAACCACTGCTCGGTCCTTTTCATCAATAGAAAACACATCTATAAGTGCAGCTGAGCCTGACTTATAATGTAGACACGTTTGGTAAACTTCACTCAATAGAGAAAATGAAATGTTTCGACCTGATAAAAATCCACATTTGTCGAATCTACGAGAGGTAGTGTTGATAAAACCTGGATAACTTGATAGGTCTGTGAGCCCTAGCCTCATCTTCGCTTGGTCTTCCACTCCCTGCGCGTGGTTGAGAACCATCTGTGCAAGTGAATTAATCGATTCATTTCATCATCCATCTTGGAAGATTAGAATATCTCGAAGTGTGACTTACCGTGCCCTCACACTTCGGTTGTAAGCCAGATAACCTACACTTTTGTGACTATCACGTGAGCCCAAAGGAACAGACAAGCATAGTGTCTGTTGAACTACAAACTAAATATCTGCCTGACTTTCATAAGACATCTTAGGGTTTCCTCTACTCAAATGGCAGATCGTGTAACGTAAAGCAATGCTGAGGTTAACTAAGTTGGAGTATTCTGAATTGGCCATTCTCAGGATCATGGACCCTTTAAGGGGACTTCTGGCGAACTGTGTAGTTTGGCGTCTGTTATTTGCGTACAAGGGATGGAAAGTGCTGCTTAAAATTGTTGTTCTCTTTATATGTTAGACGTTTGTCCCGACATTTTGCTTTTTTTGATGACCGCAGCTGTAGTTAGCCCGTTTTTTTCTTTGGCCTAACAGATGTTGCCCCAGATTTCCTAGAAACTCCAATCGATCGACTGTTCTGTAAACTGACTTGAAGAATGCCATGGCTTGACGTTCGTATACGCCATGCAAGTTTTATCTAACTATGTTTACGGTACTCACTGGACTCGTATATTAAATCTTATATTATTCCAACTGGTCTTTATAAGTGGTAAAACTTTTGTGATATGGACGACGGATTTGATCATCAAAAAGGGAATGCGTACGATAAAAAACATGCAATTGGCGGTGAAAACAATCACTGTTTCAGCTCTAGTGCCTGAAATGTTAAGTGCCCAATGACACGAGGGGACATTAGTCATCTATGTGAACCAGGTATCCCAAATAGCATTCTTAATAATCCACAATGTTCAACTAATGCACAGTGCATAGATCAAGACAACCCATGCCTACTTACTGTAGACTGTTGCAATCTGACTGATTCATATAAATTACACGAGAAAAAGCAGAGCTGTTGACAATGACATTCATAGTGTCATTTGATAGACTGCGCTACTGTCCATTACCATTGGCTCTAGCCGCCTATTTATTACGGACCTAGTAAATTCACTTCAGTTTATTTATAGCAAAAAGGAATCAAACAAGTTTGAACTTGATTGCCTATGAATTTGTTTCGAGCGTTTTTTATCACTTCCAGACTTTGGTTTACATGTTTCGATCAGCTTCCCGTTGAGTTAGACGAAAGAAATGCTGGTTTCACTGTCAAATAACTTCACGGATAAGGCAAGGTGTTGCAAAACAGAAAAAGACCTTTTGTTCAAAATCCCTATGTGGCGTTCAAGTGGCTGAAGTCATCATCGGAGTCCGAGAGATCAATTCCCGGAACCGACGCCGTTGATTGACCATAGCCGCTTTTATGAAAAGGTTCAATTAATAAATTCACGTAAGCTGATTCTTGTAATATACGAGCGCATTCTATCATCCTGAAACAAATCATTGGTTGTTCCAATGTTAAGGAGGAATCTCGCAACAACTGCGCAAACCACCGTGCAATAAGTTCCATCCCACTCATTATCAAGTTACTAACCTCCGTCATACTTCGACGTCTGGCACCTTTTAGGGAGACGAATATCCGTGCACAACAAGCAGGATTTCAACCAGGCCGCGGGTGTGTCGATCAGATATCACTCTGCGCCAAGTCCTCGAACCACGCTATACGCACCGTCGACCAACGGTTGTCATGTTTCTCGACCTACAAGGAGCCTTCGACTGAGTTGACCGCGAATCCTTTATGGGTTCGCTCCTTCACAAAGGAATGCCACAAAAGTATGTGAACATACTGAGGTCACTCTACTCGCATTCTTCTGGTAGCGTAAGGGTCTACGGTGAGCAGCGGTGTTCTTCAAGGGTGCCCTCTTTTGTCATTCCGATTCAATTTCATCATAGACAAAATGCTGGAGAACACACCAAGTGGTCTCCAAAATGTCGGTATAGTTAGAGCAGCTGGAGAAAAGCTGTTCGATTTAGAGTACGCTGACGAAATAGTTTGCTTATTCGAAAGTATGGAAGGTGCACAAATAGAACTTGACAGCGATAAATGAAGCTCCCCTCACTGTGTTACGCTGTTTAATGATAGTGATGATGATGACCCTGTCAAACTGAGGTGATGGCCGGGAAGCACGGTTAGGTACATTCCAAAGCTGGCTGAAGTACGATGTTTCATGTTAACACTTAAACAGAATGAAATTACGGTCTGACTATGGACGGTTCGATAAATTAATGAAATCAGATAAGTGTTCCGCCAAAGTAAGGTGACCAACTCCGGCGAAAAGAAAACCCATTCTCCCTTGTCTGGCTAATTTTTCCTCGTACTCCCAAATATTTCAAGGTACCCTCTGAAAGGCAGTCATCAATGTAGTTACTGTATTGTACTTGAAAATCAATCATAGTCAGTACTCAAACATCTAGGAGAGTTAATTTCAGTGCACCAGTACGTAGTCAGATACATAGTGCAAAAAGCATGCCTGTTTCCCGGACACGGTATAACAGGGCACTTACTGGTGAGGATAAATTAGAGCAATTAAAGAAATTATTAGTTATCTGTTGAACCTGTGACTTTTAAGATCGGTTGCCTTTTCTAGACACATTCACGTTAGTTCCAAATAATTTTGTAGCTCGTTAAATGTAGGTTACTTACTATGCGTGGCAAGTTAACTCTACATAAGGGTTACAGTAATATACTCAGTTCCAATCTAACAACAGGCTTTATGTTTGAGACAACTTGACCCATCAGTGCGAGTACAGTTTTGTGGCATCTCGGTGCATGCTATCAATTGGTTGCCAGTCTGGTCGACCGGGGCATAAAAGAACGAACTCAATTGAGGTTCACAATAAAGCAACTGCATAAGCACCTAA